TATATATAATATATATTATATATAATATATATTATGTAATTATTATATATATTATATAATATATATAATATATATAATATTATATAATATGTAATGATTATTATTTAATATCTATATAATATAATCATATAATGAAGAAGGAGCCGCATCTGGGCATAATTATAGTGGTAAAAAGAATATATGTGGCCAAAAAATGAAGAAGGAGCCGCATAGCACGCGAGTGCACTTCACTTCCGTCATCTTAGACGGTTTAGGGTGTTTCGCGCATGCAAAAGTATATTACAAGGGGGTTTGACGCAATTTTTAAATTACAGGGGGACAACACGCAGATTTAATATAATACAGGGGGTTTGGTGCAATTTACCCGAATTGATGTAGTATATTAGGCAAAATTGTATTTGACATCACAACCTTATTGAATTCTCATTTTTGTCACTGAGTTATAAGTCTTGGCAATGTGATACACCATAGTGTCTTCGACGGACGATGTCCAACGTGTTTGGCGACTTAACGGATGAGGCATTCGTTTTACGTTGGAAGTAAAAGCGAAAAAGTATGTCATTTCGAAGACGATGTCGTCCTAATTCTCTTTAGAAATAAAAGCGTGAACAATTATTTCCCATCCTCTATTCTTTTCAAATAACCCAAGAACCCACCAGGCGTCCCTATTACATTTTTCCGGTTAACCACCATCTAAAAAATGTCGAGCAGTTCAAGCAGTGGATTGTCGAAAGGAAGTGAAACCAAAACCCATCTTCACTATTATCAAGGAATAGAGACCGATTTTATGATCTCACACACCGAAAGGAATTCGAATCGAAGATACCACTGTTGTCGACTTTGAAAAGTAAATTTTTGGTTTTGGTAATTAGACTTGATGCTAATGTAAAAGCTTTGTTTTGCCTAAATTTCTCAGTTTCTCATATTCAATGCTAATTTTCCATTCTCCAAACTTATTAATAAACTAACAAATTTTTCGGGTTTATTTTTCCTATTGTAGTAGGATGATTACAATTATCTATTTATTTTTTCTATGGATTGATCACCATCAATTTTTTAAGTTGAAGAACAAAAAGAATTTGGAAGATGAGGTGAACTGCAAAGAATAGCAAGTGAAACTAATACCCTCAAGACTGGACACAATGACGAGAGAGATGTTGAAGCGAGGAGGGAAAAAATCCATCTTTGGTTTTTACGTTTATGCTTCTTTTTCTTTTTTTTTTTCCCCTTGAGTTAGTACGAAAGTATAACCTTGAAAAGTGACATTGGATTGTGTAGAATTCTTGTTGAGATTGGTTAATTATGACATGTTTAAATTGTATCATTGGGATATTTCTGTATTGATGTGCACTGTAAGGACTTTGATATTCAAGAAGTGCAAAGTGTTTCTTTAGTGAAGTGTATATTTCAAGTATCAGTCCCTCTCTAGGGTTCTTGTTCTCTCTTGAGATTTTGAGTTCTAGTATTTAGATTTGGTATCTTCTCGGTTCTCCTCATGCTTCTCTCTTTGCTATTGTTCTCAGTCCTTTCTTCGAACCTTTGTGCTAAGTTTCTCGTTTTCTCTAGCTTCTTTGTGTCTCGGATATGTGCATCTGCTATTAGGGCTCGCCTCTATAGGTTGGGGCGATGGGATTGATCTACCATATCTATGGATTTATCTGGGCTTCCGATTCATATGTTCTATAGTTGCCTAGACTTTGATATTCTGTTTGCTTAATTGTCTTGTTGGATTCCTGGTTAGCCTATTTTTAGTAGGGTAGCATCAGATTAGGGTTTTTCTATTCTTTGTTGTTTGCTTTGTATATTTAGTTTCTTTGGGTCTTGTCTTTGTGTGCCCTGGTCTAATTGATTAGGTTATCCTTTGGTTTGGTAGGGTGACTCTAGATTAGGGCTTCTTTATGGACTTTGTTGTTTGCATTATTTATTTAATTTTCCTAGATATGTGTATTTGCATGCCCTAGTCAGATTGATTAGGATCTTTGTGTTCTTTATTGTCTTCAATTTATATGGGGTCCCTGGTTGCTTGTTCTTGTGTGCTCTGGTCTGATTAAATAATATTCCTTTAGTTAGGTCTTGTCTAGGGATTCTGCTTGGGTCAGTTGTGTGCTGCTAGCTTTGTTGGATTTGCTTTTCTATAGGATCTGCCTTGACTAGAAGTGTTAGAGTGCTAATGGACCAGGATCTAGCAGAAAAGTTCATTAAGTGTAAGCTCTCCGATAAGGAAGAGCTAGGGGTTCAACTTTCAGTTGATGACATAACTCCTAGTATTAAATAGTGTCAATTGAGTCTTATTGGTAAAACCTTTGGTGATAAAAAAAAAAAAAAAAAAAAAAAAAAAAAAAAAAAAAAAAGCCAACTTCAGTGGCCTTAAAAATACTTAGTATTTGGGTCACTAGAATCTATCAGAAACTTAGGTAATAATAAGTTCCAATTTATGTTTCAGTGTGAGAAGGATAGAGATAAGATCCTCCAGGCAAAACTTGGTCTTTTGATGGCCAATATATCCTCCTGAAACCATGGAACCCTTTGTCTCAAGAATTTTCCTCTCAGGAAGACGCTATTAAAATTTGGGTCCAAGTCTTGAACCTTTCCCTACATTGAATCTCTTTAGACACAAGTCTTAAGATTGGTAGAAGAATAGACAGTTCTATTGATATCTAAATTCCCAACATATGAGGTTTGTTAGGACAAGTGGTGAAGGTGTTGGTAGAGCTCAATGTGAATAAGCCTATCCCTATAAGGTCTCTCATTAAAGTAGGGACAGGATCCACCTGGGTGGATTTTAGGTATGAGAGTTTGCAATCTTTTTGTTTCTACTATGGGAGAATTGACCACTCTGATAGAAACTATTTGATAAAATCTAAAGATGTCAGACATGATAGACTTAATGTGGGGCAGTTTGGGGAGTGGCTTAGGACTAGTTCAGACTCTTCCAGCTCGGTCAGAGGCCCTAGTTCCCACAACCAAGTGAGTCAACCTAGTGGCAAGGAACCCCAAGCTAATCCTGATATGTTAGCTGCTACGAGCGAGGTTGGGGGTGGGAAACAGAAAGAGTACCTCCCCAAGCCAGGGCATCAATCTCAATGCAGATAAGAGTAGTAATCATCCATAGGAACCCCTGAAACTAGCTTTAGTCTCTCAGAAGGTGAAAGAGAGCCTTGTTTAGGTGGCCAATTTGGATGATCACACTCCAAAGAAAATGCTTCATATCCCTGATTCCAGTCTGGTTGAAGTGGAAATTCAACGTTCCTCCATAGGGGGAAGGATTTCTCTTAGGAAGAAAACTACCTTCTCTAGAAAATCTAGAACTATGAAGGATTCAACCTGATAACATGCAAATTGACAAGCTAGGTGCCTCTAGGGTCTCAATTAGTGTTAGGAGATCAAATAAGAGAGGTTGTGAGGCTGTCCAGGAGGTTTCTAGGTTAGATTAGAGAGAGGCTTAGAAGGGTAAGAAAGTTAAAGTATCTAAAGATATGGCTCTAACTGTGGTGGAGGAGACAAGCCCAAAATGGTCCAACAGTGTCCAATGAAAGTTTCGTGTGGAATTGTAGAGGTTTGGGGGAACCCTCTATGATTTCCTCGTCCAAGGATCCTTAAGGATCCACCACCCTGATTTTGCTTTCTTATCATAAACAAAAAAAAAAATTAAATAAATAAAAAAAAAAAATTATTGTGTTTAAGTTTAAAAAACTTAAAATTGCATGGTAACAGGGTTTACGCTAAGCCTATAGGTAGGAGAGGTGGTCTTTTCTTAACCTGGCTAGAGAATATCACTCTGATAGAGGTGAAAAATCTAGGTTT